GATCACCATTACTACCAAAAATAGCTAAATTTGAAGGATGGCACCAAATTGCATTTTGTTTAATAACATAACTAAATTGTGCAGAATTAATATCATTTCTATTTCTAATATTAAAAATAAAACTTTCAGTTGTATTTTTATATATCTCAGCTCCATTATTTAAATTCCAATAAAGTGGATTATAACCTCCTACTAATTGATCTGAATTTTGTATTTTGCCAACCACAAGAGTTTTATTGATATTATCACATTTTTGATAAAATGTAGCTACACTATTACCATCTCTACTATGACGATATATAAGTTTGAATTCATATTTAACTTCCTTTAATGAACTATATTGTGGACTTTTTCTATCAATCCAACTTGCAAAAAGTAAAGTAAGTTTTTGATTGATTGTCAATGATTCAAGTGTTGTAATTCTTGATGGTAATAAATTCAAAGCTTGCTGATTGTCAGCAATTATATAATAATGTAAAAGGTCATTCCAAATTAACTCTGGAAGAAGTTTCAGGTATGGAATAATTTTAGAACAAAAATCCTCTTTAGAAATATCTTGAAATCTAATCATAGGAATAAATTCTTTTAATGTATTACACATATCAACAAAATTTTGTGGTGACCAATTTTTAACTTCACTGTTATTGATTTCTGGATGTTTTTCTAATCCCCAATTAAGAACATTTTCCCAAATAACTATTTCATCAACATAAAAATCATCCCTTTTAAGAATTTCCAATAAAATTGGTTTTTCCAATAATTTAAATTCATTTGACTGAAATAATTTTTCACCAAATTCACAAATTTTTTTTAGGAAGATGCTTTTCAATTCTGCAAATTGATTGTTAGAATAAATTGATTGTAAAATTTTAACTGGATTTTCTTTTATATAATCCTCATGCTTTTCAATAAAGTAGTTCATTATATAATTATAGAATGACTCAAGACCAAGTTCATCAGCTGTAATTAATACTTGCAAAATATCAACTCCAGTATAATTATCTAATTCGATTTTACATGTGTACAAAAATCTTACAAATAAATAAATGAATATTATTATTACAAATTCAATAATAATTATTTAATTATTTAATATAAACTTACTTGAGAATAGGGTTGAAGTATTTTTCACTAATATTTGTTTTTTCAACAATATAATATCCATTTTTTTTTATTGCATTAGTCAATACATTGCTAAAAAATGGACAATGTGCAGATACAATAGATGCATGTGCATGAATTTCTTTAATGTTTGGTTCTACGCCAAGGTATATTTTTACATCATAAAAATTTTCTGTATTTAATAATCTTTCATTTTCATTGAAATATTTTTCCAAAATTGTTGAATCCATTTTAATTTATTTTTTAAAAAAAAAAAAAATGCCAATCGATTGCTAAAAATAATAAAAATATGTTTGGATCATTTACTGCGCCATACGACAAAATTCGTAAATAATTTTTTTCACACACAAAGTCAATAATAATAAAACTTGAGTATTTTAATAATTTACAAATATCAAAATAATTTAATTAGTGATCACGAGATAAAAATCCTATGGTATATATATACACAATACAATATTTTTATATATATTATATGCAATCCTCTATCTCTCTTTTTTTCCTTCAAACAATCAATTAGTATTTTATTTTCATTGGAGATGATGAAATTTACAAGATGTTAATAATCGATCTTTTGATCTTGAGGAAATATTCAACTCCGGATCTAATGATGATAAACCATCCTCGTTCATCAATGATAATCCTGCCAAGCCCATATAAGTATGCAAAACATCTTTTGGAGGGAAGGTTTGGGAGGATGATAGAAAAAAAGAGAGAGCCGAGAATTGATTTGGAAAAAAAAAATTTATTTTTGTTATTTATCTATTTAATTAAATGTGTATGTGTGTATGTGTGTATTTATTTATTTACCTGGATGGTAATCCGGCCATTTTGAAAACCCGCCGTATTTTGTTTGAGTAGTCATTAAGAAATCACGATTTCTTTTATAATCAACAAAATCAAAAGCTTTCAAAATCTATATGTATGAGTACCTTATGAGTATAAATATTTTCCAAAGTTAAAAAATAATTAATAAATTAGCAACCTTTAAAGAAGCACCAATCCAAAAAGAGTAGCAAGTGTCTTCAGGCTTATTGGCTCTACCTTGGAATCCATTATTTTCTTGACGCGATAATAACCAAAATATCGTTTCATCTTTAGAGAGCAGGCCCTCGTCAATTTTATCTAGTATTGAAAGAGCTGCAATTGCACAATATGTCGAACCACCTATTAATTATTAATGGTAGTGATTAGCCAATTAGTTTGTTGGTTAGTTGACGAAAATAAGTTTTAAATTACCGTGAGATTCAAATCCTGGGCCTTGACCAATTCCATAATCATATGACTTTAATAAATTAATTACACGAATTGAACGTGAATTACACGAAACAATCTAAAAATAAAACCGAACCAAATAGGTATCTATTTACCTGACTATTCTTTATATAGTCGACAATTTTTAAAATGTTGATCCCACTGAAATCATTTAATATTGAAGATATTGCGACAGCACAATAAACAAATCTCATATCTGATTCCATCCCTTGATATGTTTGTGTAAAACTAAACAAATAATAATAATAATAAATTAATTGTCACAAATAATTATTCCTTAATTGTTTGAATGATTTGCATAAAACAAAAAGATCATAATATATCACCTTCCATTATCATTTTGCAAATATTTTAAAGAATTAATAATTGCTGTCTTGTCGACACATGCAAGATCATCGCCCAAAGTTAGCAGAGAGCATAAAGCAGTGTAAGTCATTGCTAAATTTGCAGCGTCGAATGGTAATTTCGAATTGCGCGACTACTTTTTATTAAACGACGATGAATATTGATAAATTGTAATTCATAATTACAATAATTTATTTTAATTATATAAAATAGTTACTCCATTTGGATCATATTTAGTACCAGAGAATGGTGAACCTCTAAACCCACAAATTTTTTCATTGATTTCTAAAAAAAAATTTGACCAAGAAAAAAAATATTTAAAAAAATATTTTAAAATATTATATATAAAATATATTATGTAAATATGAAATACCAGGTTTTTCTAAATTAGGCAAGATTTGTTGAGAATAAATCCAATCAATCCAATCTTTCTTTTGTTCTTTTGAAATTTCTATATCAATGGCACCCAATAAATCCAATCCAGATAAACAAAAATAAGCCAATGACATTCTATGATACAAGTATGCATAAGTAGCAAGTAGATAAATATATATATATATGCACATCATATGATTTTTACCAATTGCTAAATCCTTTAAATTATTTACAAATTAATAATATTAATAATAATACTACCTAAGTGTGTCGTTGCTCGTATAATTTTCAGGCAACATTTCTAGACAACGTTTAAAATACTTGACATGATTGGCAATTTCGAATTCTTTTAGATTATTTTCAACATTATTATTATTTTCTGATGTTGATGTTGTTGATGTTGATAATGTGGCATTTTTATCTTTGATAGTTGACATTTTTTATTTATTATTTATTAATTAATTAATTTAATTAATTAGAATAAATAATAGAAAATAGAAGAGAAGAAGATTGAAAAATTTAAAAAGATGCACAATTTTTTTTTGTGGGAAACTTATCGGTGGAATTCGGATATTTAAAAACAAACAAAATAATAATAATAAAATATATTCATCATTTATATAAGTGCAATTATGCCAAATAGTTAATTACAAATTCATCAAACATCAATAATAATAATATAAATAAATAAAATATATTATAAATAAAAATAAATTACATAACCGACTGATAAGAAAGCTATTAATGTTTATTTGTGAACACATAGATAAGATCATAAGACAACAAACATGGAAATTTATGAATGCAAGAATTAATGTGAGAATTAATATGAGAAATAAATATGAATGAATGAATTATAAAAAAGATTATCTATACGAATTATTTTTATATTTATTTTTAGTTACCTTGATGCATATTTTTTAAAATTTTGATTGATATTATTTAAAATTTTCAAAAATTCCAATTTTGATAATTTGATTCTTAAGGTTTAATTCTAAAGTTTAATATTTCTAAAGCCAATTTCTAAATTATGATTACCATTTAGGTTAATCAACTGATTTTAATCAATCAATCAATCAATCAATTAATCAATCAATCAATCAATTAATCAATCACATTCATTTACACATTGCTTATTTGACTTTTCTCACAATGTAGGCGTCAAATATTCGTGGGAATAGTTTTAATAGGAATTGAATTGAATGAGTGATACGTACTAATATATATAATATATAATATATAATATAATATAATATATAATATAATAATAATAATATAATGAATGTAATACAGCAGTATCTTTTTAATCTGTTTGTTTTTGCAATTTGAAATTCATCACGAGAATTCATCATCACCATATAAAAAAATAATAGAACAACATATAAATATTTAAATACTGATAACAAATATTCTTATCAGTTTGTTTTTATTTATTTTATCTGCAATGCAATGTATGTAATGTATTTGGATTTCCGATTAATTTCATGAAAAAAAATATAAATTAGGAAACGCAATTCATAATCAGATCTTTTTTGCTGATAAAAGATAAAAGATAAAAGATAAAAAACCCTTTTTTGATCCCCCACACTATCTCACACTATACAGTTCATGTTTATTTTGCACTACATACGATATAAATAATAATATAATGTATAAATATTATTGTAATTAAAAATCCAGAAATCAAATTAAAATCAGCAAAGTTGATCTCATTTATCACACACAATATATAAATACCGTAGAAAAACAACTTGGAATTTTCTTCTTTTTTTTCTTTTTTTTTTAATAAAATTTTTGAATCTATATTATTTTCAAACAAAACTAAAACATTAAAATTTTCGAACTAATTAAATTTTCAAATTATAATTAAAAATTAAAGAAGTATGGAAAACCCGGCTTCAAATATTTATCCAGCTTCACCTTGTTGCTCTACCATTTCAAATCATAATAATAATAATGATAGTTCTTATCAGCAGCACTCTAGCAGTAATAATAGTAATAATGGTAGATGTAATTTTGAAAATCTTTTGAATGCAGCTGAACAACATCAACATCATTTAAATAGTAGTAATAATAATAAAACTTATTCTCAACAATATCAACGTGATGAATACCATCAATTTCGTCTTCCTCCACCTTCAAATTTTAATTTCAATTATACCCCACTACCAACACCTGCTGCACAAACGTCTTCTATAACCGATGCAATGTCAATATCTTCATTAATTGACGTGGACGATGACGATCAACCAAAAAATAACTTTCAACAAAATCAACATCATCAATATCAACAACAACATCATCAATATCAACAACATAATAATAGTCATCAACAACATTTACAACATCAGCAATTATTCACATTAACACCACCTATAACACCACCTGTAACTTCTCTTATTGATGATTTACCATACTCGGACATAAATACTACCAGTAGTAATAGAATAATAGCTTCAAAATTTTCTAATTTTAAACCAGTCATCAATAAAAACGATCTTTATAATCATCAACATTTTTCTACTACACCTTCATCATCAACATTGTCATCTACACCTTCATCACCACCTTCAAATTATCATCATTTCACCACTAGTAGTAATACTACAGTACTTCCAAGTGTTAATCAAGCAGTTGGAAACAATTCTCACCAACAATATCAGTACCATCAACATCACAATGCTGTGATAGATCAATCTTCACCTAATTCATCACCATTAACACCACCAACTACACCACCACCTTTAAATTACAACAACATTAATAATTCTACCACCACCACTATTAATAATAATAAAAGAAAAATAGATTATATCAACAATAATAGCAACAACAACAACAACAACAACAATAGTAGCGATGATGATGAAGAAGATGATGATAATAATAATAACGATGGTTCTCTACGTGTTTCAAAATACAGAAAATTCAGCATTCATCAAGAAATTCCTCCTATCACCCCCACCCCCAACACTACCTCCTCTACAACCAATAAGAACAAATTTAAACTGGTTACTGTTACGTGTTATCATGCAACTGTTGCACAAAAATCTTATGGTAGCGAAAAAAGATTTTTATGTCCACCACCTGTAGTGATCATTGATAAAACCAGCGGCAACAGCAGCAGCAGAAGCAATAATAGTGGCAATAGTAAGAATCTTTTTATTAATAATAATAACGATAACAACCACAGCAGACCAGAACTTTTAATGTCGGTGATGTGTGAAAATGGTAAGAAATCATTAGAACTAGATGGTCAACTTGATGAAGATATGAAGAGCACATTTAAATTTTTACATGTTAGCGGAACTGCTAAAGCAAAGACCTTTACTCTTAAACTAAAAATATTCGATAATCTTACAAACCCCACTTTGAATTCGTCATCACCAAGAAATTCAACTTCAATCCCACCATCTGCAATATTTGATTCATCTCCAATCACAATAATTTCAAAGCCTTCCAAAAAAACCGCCAAGGCAAGAAATCTCTCATCGTGTATTTTATCCGGATCTCAAATCTCACTATTCAATCGTATAAATTCTCAAACTGTAAGAACAAAGTATATGGGAATCGAAGATGGAAGATTATGTGCCAGGAATACTTCCTGGTCTTCTTTTATCATTACTGTTGTAAATAATAGTAGTAATGCAACAACAACAACAACAACATCAACATCATCAAGTACACCAATAAATTACGGATCAGAGATCATTTTAAGTAACCCGGTGACTGGATTCACATCCGATCGTTTAATTATTCGTAAAGTTGAAAAAAGTCGTATATTACAAAATGCTACTGGGCCTGTAAGTCAAATGCAAAAAATTGCTTTACAACGTATTATAAGACGACCACCATCGAACAACAATAATATGCACCACCGTCATCATCAATACCATCATGAGTATGAATATGAATCACTTTATTTAAGTGCAGCAGGTCCAATTACAATTGATAACAATCATCATAATAACAATAATTCACAATCTTCTTATTCCACTTCTTCCTCTTCCGATAATAATACTTCTGATACTTCTTCATCTTGTACATTGAACTCAACACCTTTCCTAAGATATCAATCATCACGAGTTGTTCATATGCAAAATTTAGAATTCACCAAGGAACCGTTTAGATCAATGAATATCATTAATAATGGAAATGTTTATAGCACTGGAGTTAATAGTCGTGGTTGCATCGTTGGTGGAGGCGGTAATGACGGAGTTACAATGTCAACTTCTACAGTTGAAGAAATTGATGACTATTTATGTTGGACCATTGTTGGAATCTCAAAATTTCAACATTCTTATTATGAACAGGATTCATAAATTTTTTATACATCTGAACATATTTTAGATATTATACATATATATATATATTAGTTAGTCTAAAAAACATCATTCGTTTTTCATTTTGTACATATATAAACATACATATACATAAATATCTTATTTTAAAAAAGATTTTTTCGCTCATTTTTTTTTTTTAATCTTGTATATATTTATTATATATTAATATTAATTAATATTTATTGTATTATTACATATTTATATAATAATAGAATGAAATAAAATTCTACAGTATATAAATAAATCTATGTAATATTTATTTTTATTACATGAATAATAATTAAACAATATGACGGAGTTTTTTTACCTCTTTTCTAAACTTATTTCCACCACAAACGACAGCTTGCTTACGTAAGTAGTAGATAAAAGAAAACGAAATCAACCTGTAAAATTTGTATGTAAATCATCCATATTCCAAAATTTATGACATGGGTTTTCTATCTTGAAGCGATTCTTGGTTGTTGTATTTTATATTAGAGCCACAGTGAGCTTTTTGTTTAATCCAATTCATTCGCCAGTCACAATGGAAAATTACAAATTGAACTGAAGGTTTCACTTCAATGAGCACAAATAATAAACCATTAAACATTCAATCTAGTATGATGGATGTGAAGAAGTTCGATGCTATTACTTTTTAATTAATTAATATTTTATGTAAATGAAACAATAAAACAAACAAATGGATATTAAAAAAGTATTTTAGAAATATATACTGACTGTTGACTAATTGAAAATTACGACCTTACAAACTTGTAGACTTCACATTCTTCTAAAAGGTGAAAGGTTTTAAACCCATTTATACCTAAATTATTGTCATAAGCATTCCAATTAAAATAATAGCAATAAGGTACATTATTATTAACACGATAATATTGTTTTAAATCATAAAAGTTCATATTCTATATCATCTTTCATATAATTAATATTATTATACCCTATTGCAAGCATAGTGTTTTTGACTCTGCTGAATATTGAATTATTTATTTGATTTGCATCAATTTTAAAAATAAAACTTTTATCAGTTACAGTAAAATCTACGGAATTCTCCAGTTTCTTTAATTTTCATAATGGTTACTGTTTGTCCAATGTCATGGCATCTATCCTCAAAAACAGTTCTAGAAAATCCATCACGAGATACACAAAGAATTAATTCAAATTCATATGATGAAATGGTTTCATCATTGTACATATCATTTGTTTTATTAATCCAATTAAATATTAAATATTTAATTTGTGGGCTCAATAAATATCTTTCTCTTGTTCTTGGACCTTTTCGATTTATTAAACTTGGTTACTGTTTGCCAGTGAGATGATGATATTTAAGAAGTTCTTTATATATACTTTTATATCAATCAATAGCTTCTTTGTAAGGTTTGATTTTTTTCATCAAAATCTTTTAAGGTGATTTGATCAAATCTAATTAATGACAAGAAATCTTGTAATATAATTTTTAATTCTTTGAAATTATCTTGATTCCATTTTGAAATTTCTTTTTCTCCAAATATCAATTTCATCAATTTCCAAATCTTCTCTTTTCAATATTGATGTAATCATTGATTTTTCAATACATACAGTGTCATCATTCTTTAAAATTAATTCTGGATTTTTACCAGTCACTTCCTTAGAATAATCATAAAGTAAACTGAATGATTGGTATTTTGATGAAATATCATAAACATAAACCAAATTTTCTTTGAATCCAATCTTTTTTTTTCTATAATTAAATAATTTTGTAAACTATCATCTGCTTCCAGATTATTTATGCTAATTCCTCCATTGTAAATATATCTTTTAAAAAACATTAATATTATTTTTAGTTAATAATAAATCAAATTAACAAAGGTAAATCATATATACGTTAAAAGAACTTCAAATACTTTTTCAAATAAAATTATGCCATCATCAGATCTTTTTATCCAATTATCCGATAATGCTGTTTCAAAATAGGGAGACCTTGCTTTTAAAATAGCAGAATGCGCTTTAAAAGTTTTGACATCCTGGTCTACTGCTCCAACCCTAATTTCTACATCATATGAACTTGATTCGTTCAATAACTTTGTCCAATCATTTACAAGTTTATTAAATTTATTAATATGTTAAAAGCATCTTCAAAGTCGATCGATTGTGTTAATTCGAGTTTGGGAACAATTTTCAATGACGTGACACTAATTCATGAAAAGGGGAAATGTTTAGCCGGGATGATGATGATAATGATAATAATAATAATGAGCAAAAAAAATTGTTCAAAAGCTTGAGAAACTACTTGTTAATTATAAACGAATCAGTACAAGCCCCCAAATTTTCATTTCCTGGATATTAATATTAATATTAAAATATAACCCTCAAGTTTTTTTGCCATACAAAAGGAGAGAAAATATATATAGTCGATGTAGGGGATGGCAGATCACTAAACTATGCTATTTTTTTATTATTTGATCCTGTTTATCGTAAAGTATATAGTAAGTTCGATGTTCCAGACATCCTTGATTTTCATTCAATCTCTTTTGGTGATGAATTAAAGAAAAATTTTTTTTTAATTACTCCCTTGCAAGCATGGCCTGATATTATTGATTGACCAACAACAACAATAATATTAAAAATAAGGTTTCTATCGCACATTTAATTTTAGTCGTATGATGTATGAGAACGGAAAAATGAATTCGCTTTATCCAATAAACAAAGATATTCAATAGAAAATGATCCATTCAATTCTATATTTAGAATATAAGTTTTTTTACAATAACGAAATAAAAAGATTCAAACAACGAATGATTTCTGCTTCTGATTTTTAGTAATAGTAAACAAAAAATACCAAGAAATTTAATTCCGAATGAATCAACGACAAGTAACAGTTAAAAAAGTATGTTGTCGTTAACGTGCGTGTGTTATACTACAGTACGGGTTTGTAATTACTTGTTATTTATACTTGGAAAGTCTAACAATGCTTGAAAAATAAAAATGATCAAAAGAACTGTTGCATATATCGTGTGTATATATTATATATACATATGATTATTAATGCATACGTTTTGTATATAAAAGAAATCGATTTTTCTTCTTTTTTTCAAATTCTTTAAATTTATATTTCTTTCTAACACATAAAATGAATTTAAGAATGCGAAAAAGAAGTGCAGTAACAATTACTAAAGCGCCAAAAAAGGTCTCAAAGAAAAAAGGTTGTAAAATAATTGATGTTAATAATGTCGATAACGTTAATAATAATACTGTTGACGACAACAATGGCAACAATATTAATAAAATATTAACACCCACACCCGATTTATCATCAGAATCTACATCCATATTAACGCTAGCATCGTCAACACTCGATTTATCCACATCAAATTTATCCACACCTACATCTATGCCAACATCAGCCAATTCACCAGCAACTTCAGAATTAACATATATATATATGTCCATACTAGCATACAACTCAAACAAATTTGCATCATTTTCATCGGAAATATTTGTAAAAATATGCGAGGATTTGCCGCCTCTAGATATTTTCGCATTGTCAAGAGTTTGCAAACTGTTTCGTCAATATTTGTGCACATCCGATTCATTAATATCACAAATCATTTGGCGAAAAACAAGACTCCGGTTTCTAATCTACCCGCGGCTACCACCACCGCAAGGAATGAGCGAATTACGATATATTCGACTAGCTGTTTTTGATAAAAGATGTGAATTCTGCGGTTTGAAGCGTTACCAAAATAACAAGGCAACATTGTATTGGGAATTCCAAGTTAGATGTTGCGACAAATGCCTATTCGAAAGAACAAAAACGTACGAAAATATCTATTCCTATTGTTGTTATAAAAAAAGAATTGATTGATTGAATTTATTTTGTCCCCCAATAATTACTAGATTCGAAGAAATTGAAAAAGAAAAGATACTTCCAACAAATTTACTCGACAATTTATCATGCCTATGGATTCGAGGTGGATTGTTTCTAATACCTGTACACAGATATTATTGGATACCTCATATTGTTTTAATCATCAATGAATACACTGAAATAATCAAGAATAATAATTATTATGATTTGGAAATTTGGTTAAGAAATAAAATAGATCAACAAAGGCAATTTTTAGCCGAAGTATCAATTCGTTATGAAGAACATAGATTATATTCACATCAATAATAAATAAAATTTTTTTTTTGTAATTCTTTAATAATAAATAAAATAATACATTTTTCCCGTTTATTCATCGTTTCATTTGCTTAGTGAAAATGTGTAATTTTTAAATTACTGCGTCAAGTAAATCACTGATAAAATTTTTATTCTAATAATTACTATATAGATCTTTGGACTTTTTTTTCGTAATCAAGAATGATTGAATGGATTATACTTTGTGTGATATTATACCTTTTACATAAAACTAATCCCACTAGTACCTCATTTCACAATTTTATATCAAAAAAAAATGAATCGTCATCTTCCACCACTTCCACAAGTAAAGAATTATTTGGTTTTTTTAAGAAAATATTTAGTGATCAACCAACAGTTCCAGAATACACAAGAGATGATTATGTTATATTTTCAATCGTCAATCTAAAAGATGGCTCTGCAACTTATTTGGGTGTTGGAGGTGTATGGTTTGTATTGAGTCAAATAGAACTAATCGAAACTGGAGGTATTGGTGGTAGTGGTAAAGAAACAGCGGTCGAATTAAAATTTTTGGAAGGATCTGCTAATCAAGAAAAAGAAAACGCTATTCAAGCTAAAGGAAAAAGAGATTGTAAATTTATTGTTATTTGAGAATATTGAATTGTTATTATTTTAATAATAATAATAATAAATTAATTTTTATTTATTTTGTGATAATAGATAATTCAGCAGCAAAATATTATATATCAGCAGCAAAAAAATTTGAAAAAATTAATGATAATTATAGTTTATTGGAGGCTGCTGGTTGTTATGAAGATGCGTATAAATCATTACAACAAACTAAACAGCCTGGTAATATATACACACACACATATATTTATTTATTGCTAAATAATAGGAAATAAATATCAAAATTTTTGATTTTTCTGAAAATCAATAAAAATAGACAAAGCAATTGAAATGTTGGAGAAGGCAGCTTTGATTTATGAAATCAATGATAGACAAAGTACACGTGCTGCTAGAATATATGAACAGATAGCTGAGCAATATAAAAAATCTACGGTAAATTCATCATTAAAAAATTTAGGGAAAGCTTTAACTGCACATGAAAAGGCTGCTGAACTTTTTGAAAGAGAAGGAGATGGGTAATATTTATTAATAAATATATGTGTATATATTAATTATAGAAGGGGAAAAGTCAACCTTTAATTATCTATTTATTAATCATTAATCATTATCTAAACATTTCAATATAGTCGTCATTTGTATTCTATAATTTCACAAGCAGAAGTAGCAGCAGAAATTGGTTATTATGATAAATCAATATTACTATTTGACAGTATAATGTTTACAGTGGCAAATGATAATTTATTACAGTATAAAGCTACTGGATTTGTATATTGCCAATGTATTTGTATGATTGGTTTGGGTGATTGGATTAGACTTGAAAAATTTCTGGCTGACTCTATTGATCTATATCCTACTTTTGCTGATAGTAGAGAATGTAAATTTATCAAGGTAAATATATTTTTCGGGGGGATGAATCAGAAAATTTATATTAAAAAAAAATATATTCTTCATTTATTTGTTTGTTGATTTAGGAATTAATTACAGCAAGAAATAGTTTTGATCCATCAACTTTTGCAACTGCATGTAAAAATTTCGATAATTTTAGTAAATTATCACCATGGCAAACTAACATATTACTTCAAGCTAAAAAAAGTTTGGAAACTGAAGATTTGAAATAAATTATAGTTGTTGCGTTGGAAATTTTACATGCAATAATAGTATGTGATAACATGGTTTCTTTTAAACCCAACAAAGTGAACATTTGTACTATTTCAGGAATCATTTAACATCACAATTGTATATAGTAAAATTTTATAATCGAATGTCTTCTTGATACCCTTGCTGTAACTTCTTTACCATATGTATCTGCTTTAAGAAAAATTTTAAAGCAGGTTGTTAATAAAACCGAAAATAATCTGACCTTCAAAGTCAAATTTTGTCTTTATATTCATATATGTAAAATTTTATTTGGCGTGTCCAATTTCAAGTAGAAGTAGAATAAATATCCAAATATTACATTATTATGAATATTTACTGATTTTTTTGATTGCTTAGGTATGTCTTTTATAGTAAATATAATAAATAAATAGATATTAAAATTTTTTCTTTACCTATATACATAAATAATGATTGGAATAATTAACAAGTAACAATATTGATTAAATTAAAAGGTGTTTATATACATCAATAAATAATAAATATAATTATTGAATGATTGATAAAACGTTCACTTTTGTAAAACTTACTTTGCAAGCTTCATAGATCTTGTCCTTGACGCTTATACAAATTATTGAATAATTGAATAAAACGTTCGTTAGTATATTTTGTTCATAGATCTTGCCCTTAAAGCTTACTTCGATCTCTCCTGCACAAACTATTGAATAATTGATAAAATGTTCAATAGAATATTTTGCGAGCTTCATAAATCTTGTCCTTATAGTTTACTTCATTGTTTGTCGTTGCTACTAATTATAATATTATTATTATTGATTGATGGATCTTCGTATATTACGAATTTAACCAATCAAATCAATTAGCGAATTTTATAAAATAAATAATAAAATCAACAAAAAGAGGGGTCATGTCACGAAGGGTCAATACACCCTTCATGAGCCACTCACGTGAGTTCCACCCACCGCCACGCGGGACTTTACAGCCGGTCCAAAGTGAGGGCATTACACCCAAGGGAGCCGGACACAGGGGACCTTATCTGGTACTTCATCATTGAATGACTTTTCACTATTATACAATTCTATGACCTACATATCAACTTTTTTTCAAGTTGTGCAAAATATGGGATACCAACCACTTTACAACATTCATTGGATAAATTCTATTCCATAATTTTTATTGTGTAATCTAAAAAAAAAAAATTCAATAGAAAAAGTAGACTATTAAATACAAGATGTATGACGACGACATACGAAGCTTCCAAAGCAAGTTTGTAAAATATACTGATAAACGTTTATCAATTATTAGGTTTTGCAAATGAATGTTTCATCAATTATTGAATAGCTTGTATCGAAGTGAGTGCTAAAAGTCAAGATCTATGAAGCTGTTTGTAAAATGTATTAATGAGCGCTTTATCAATTATTCAAATAATTATATAGGCAGGCTTGGTCAAAGTAAGTGTTAAAGTCAAGATCAATTTCCAAATCAAGTTACCAAAATGAATATTTATTATTATAGGCGGGTTTGATCAAAGTAAGTCTTAAAGTTGAGATCTACGAAGCTGTCTGTAAAATATATTTAAATAACGTTTTATTATTATCAATTATTCGATAATTGTATAGGCGGGTTTGATCGAATTGTGCGTTAGTCAAGATCTACGAAGCTTACAAAACGAATCATTCAATAATTATATAGGCGGGTTTGATCGAAGTAAGCGTTAATCAAGATCTACGAAGCTTGCAAAACGAATTCAATAATTATATATGCGGGTTTGATCAAAGTAAGTGTTAGTCAAGATTTATGAAGCTTGAAAAACGAATGTTTATCAATTATTCAATAATTATATAGACGGGTTTGACCAAACTAAGTCTTAAAGTCGAGATCTACGAAGCTGTTTGTAAAATATGTTTAATTAACGTATTATTATTATCAATTATTCGATAATTATATATGTGAGTTTGATCGAATTGTGCATTAGTCAAGATCTACGAAGCTTACAAAACGAATCATTCAATAATTATATAGGCGGGTTTGATCGAAGTAAATGTTAGTCAAGATTTATGAAGTTTGCAAAACAAATGCTTATCAATTATTCAATAATTATATAGGCGGGTTTGATCGAATTGAGTGTTAAAAAAGACAATTTATACATTTTATTTATTATTTAATTTTAATCGATATAAATTCAGAAATGTAAAACAATCACTAATAAAATACCTTTTAGTTTTTGCTGAATCCCATCATAAAATTCTTCAATGACTATTAAATTTCTATAAAATAGTTTTTCGTGAAACTCTCTAAAACTTATTAACAAATACCCCCATAAAGTAATGACTATATGAAGCCTAAATTATTCTACACCTTCTCATTTAATATCAAGTCTTTTAAAGCGATATCGAGAAATAATCTGAACTTTGAAATGAAAAAGTAATACCGTTTTTGAATAACTTTGAATTCATGTAGAGAAGACCTTTCGATATGAAAGAGTATTCATTAAAAAACTTTAATGGAGTACTTTCATTTTACTCTAACAACGAAATTCGAGTTTATTAAAATAACGAGATATTAATTCCTTCACATTGGACGTGACAACGAAGAGGTTGTTATTAATTTTTTTATTAGTTATTAGGAAAAGCACAGAATATAATTTGCTTTTTTTATTATTATGTGCAACGGATTTTCTGTTTCATTACTGCTACTAAAGAAACATATTGTTGTAAGATGCATAATATTCTATTTTGGTAACTGGTTTTTCCTTTATAAGCAAAATGAACATTAATCATACAACCGACTTTTATTGTTGGCCAAAATTTCCTAAAGTTTACTAGTGTCGAAAATTTTACGCGTTGTTCATACTTATAAAATAACGAATATCTCCCAAATTTTTGAATGATTTAGGGTCTGAAGCATAATATACAATGTTGGTTATTCTTTTTGTTGATAGCAGTCTTTTAATAATAAAAACAGTGTAAATTTTTTACCAATACATGAAAGTGCGCTTCTGCTAAATTTTGTCCATTGATCTACATAATATTGTTGATTTTATGATTTTATCAACCAATAAAAATAAATTACATATCATATTAATATTCTATTCTATTATACTACTTACTGAAAAAAAATATAATTATTTAAAATAGAGATGGATACTGCATTAATCAAAACAGGTGAATAAAAAATTAATGCTCAAGTAACATTGATTAAAATATGTTTAAATTTACACAAATGAATTCTTTTTAATTGGTCTATTTTAATTGCATTGAATGTATTTTACAATTTATAATTTTACAATAATAACAATGTTATTTAATAATAGTTAACAAGTTACAAGATGCTTTTGCTACTGTTGGAGTTCAGAACCCTGTTGACTTGCCACAAATTGTAGTCATTGGCTCTCAATCAAGTGGTAAAAGTTCCGTACTTGAAAATATTGTTGGTAGAGATTTCTTGCCAAGAGGCACAGGAATTGTTACTAGAAGGCCATTGGTTAGTGAAAGATTGAAGATTAATTATTTATAATTTATAATATGATAAATAACAACAACAATAATTTTTTATTTATAATATAATTATAATTATAATTATAATTATAATTATTATTATTATTATTATTATTATTATTATTATTATTATTATTATTATTATTATTATTATTATTATTATTATTATTGAAATTATTATTATTATTATTGAAATTATTTTTAGGTTTTACAACTTATTAATCGTCCATCATCTAAAGAAAAAACTGATACTCCAGGTAAATGATATTGATTGATTAATTTATTCATTCATACAAGTAATTAATTCATTAATCCATTCATTCATTGATTTATTTATTTAGAACCCGTTACCAAAAAAGAACCACTTAGAAAAGATAGTAAATCATCGGATAAAAAAGATTCAAGTAAAAAAAATGAATCAAATCCGGAAGAGTGGGGTGAATTCTTACATATTCCTGGTGAAAAATTTTATGATTTTAATAAAATTCGTGATGAAATTGTTCGTGATACTGATGCAAAAACTGGTCAAAATGCTGGTTTGTATATTAAATTATGAAATATAGCGAGGTTTTTTTTTGCCTATAGAATGATTTATTCAAAAAGAAAATTTTTAAAAAATATTATATATAATTATAGGAATTTCATCATTACCAATCACTCTTCAAGTATATTCACCAAATGTTCTTACATTAACATTAGTGGATTTACCAGGACTCACAAAGGTATTTATCAATCAATCAAATCGTGAAAATATTTATTTTTTTAGTTATAAAACTAATTAATAATGAATTTTTATTAAATTTCCTTTTTGTCAAGGTCCCTGTTGGAGATCAACCAGTAGACATCGAGAAACAAATTCGTGATATGATCTTGAAGTATATAACTAAACCTAATTCTATTATTCTTGCCGTAACCGCTGCAAATACTGATTTGGCCAATTCAGATGGTTTGAAAATGGCTCGTGAAGTTGATCCTGAAGGTAATTTTTTTTAAAAAAAAATCAACTATAGTAATAATAATATCATAATATCAATAATAATGAACTTTATTATTACTTTTACGTTATCGATTAGGATCACGTACAATTGGAGTTCTTACAAAAATTGATCTTATGTAAGTTATCACATATATCATACTCAATTAACCACACACGTAATTTAATCAATTAATCGCATCAAATTATTCCTAACACTATATAGGGATAAAGGGACAGATGTTGTAGATATATTGGCGGGAAGAATTATTCCATTAAGGCTTGGTTATGTACCAGTTGTAAATAGAGGTCAAAGAGATATTGAAAACAAAAAAACGATAAATACTGCGCTAGAGGCCGAGCGTTTATTTTTTGAAGATCATCCTTCCTACAAAAGTAAAGCTCAATATTGTGGAACACCTTTTCTTGCCAGAAAATTAAATATGGTAGGTAACATTAATCAATTATTCATTCATATCGATAATGAATAATTAATTACATTATTAATAAAATAATTGCATCAATTAATCACTTTATTATTATTATCATTATTAGATACTGATGCATCATATTAAAAACACGCTTCCAGAAATTAAAGCCAAAATTCAAGGTGCCTTAGTGAAATATAGAACAGAATTGGGATCTCTAGGAGATCCGTTAATCGATGACAATCCAAGCCTAGTTCTTAATATCATCACGGAATTTTGCACAGAATTTCGTACAGTTATCGACGGTAATTCCAATGAATTGTCATCATTTGAATTGTCTGGTGGTGCTCGTATAGGTTTTGTGTTTCATGAAGTGTTTGCCAATGGTATAAAATCTATTGATCCATTCGAACAAATAAAAGATGCTGATATCAGAACTATACTTTTCAATTCTTCGGTAAGCTTCTAACTCATGCACTCATTTAAGAAATATTTAAAAAATGCATATTATTATTATTGCACATGCACAATTTCACACACACACACACACACACACACACACATATGCTTATATAGGGATCATCTCCAGCATTATTTGTTTCAGCAATTGCATTTGATGTTATAATAAAACAACAAATTAAACGTCTCGAAGATCCAAGTTTGAAATGTGTAACATTAATTTATGATGAATTGGTGAAAATATTAACGCAATTATTACAAAAACCGGTAAATATTATTTATATATATATTAATAAACACACATTTTTATCTTTATTTATATGTTTAAAAAATACGAATTATAGATGTAAATATTAATATATATATATATATATATAAGTTATTTAAAAGGTTTCCCGGTTTAAAAGAAAAATTCAATGGTGTAGTTATTAATTTTTATAAAAAAGCCTTGATACCAACAAACAAATTAGTAAAAGATCTTGTAGCGTATGTGTTTATATTTATATCACCTATATATAATGTATATATGATTTGTAATTTATGCAACCATAATTAATTCACTTTTACTTTACAATAACAATAGAATGGAATCTTGTTATATTAATACAGCACACCCTGAATTTATTAATGGTCATAAAGCCACGGCTATAGTTCATGAAAAATTTAATCCAAAACCACCACCAATTGATGGAAAGAATGGACGTGGAAGTATCTCCAATTTGACAAATCCATTAACAAATGTCGATCCCGAGGAATCAAATGCTGGATTCTTTGGAAGTTTTTTCGCTGGTACTAAAAAAAAGAAACCCGGCGTCTTAGAAGCTGTACGTATTAAAATATTAATTGACATTTGAATTGTGATTAACAATAATAATTATTTATAATATTTTGTTTGATATTTTTTCTGTCTTTGTTTGATAGCCTCCAGCAGTTTTAAAAGCCTCTGGACATTTATCTGAAAGAGAGAATATCGAAACCGAAGTGATCAGTAAGAAGAATATAAAAATTTGTTATTTATTATAATTATTTCGTGAAACACTATCAGCAATAAAAATAACGTTATTATTAATATAATATTTTTAGAACTACTTATCAAATCATATTATGAAATTGTAAAGAAAACTATTGTTGACATGGTACCAAAAGCAATCATGCTCAATCTTGTTTCATATGCTAAAGAGGAACTTCAGCGTGAACTATTACAAGAATTATATAAATCTGATATTTTAGATGAACTGCTCAAGGAGAGCGAATTCACTGTACAACGAAGAAAAGAATGTAAAAAAATGATTGAAGCTTTACAAAAGGCTGACGAGGTAATTAATATAAAATATTCTATTTATGTATTTATTTATTTATGAAATTATGCACGCATTTATCTTAATAATATTCCTAATATTTATAGATTGTATCTGCTGTTTAATATTATATATATAAAAATTGTAATTTAAGAAAATGAATAGATGGGGATAGATGAATGCGCATGAATACTTAATTCATTTAAATTATTTATATAAATTTATTTGCTTGTGTTTATTTATTCAGTATTATTATTATTATTACCATTATATTTTAGTTTGAATATTTTTAAATAATAAAAAGGAAAAAAATAGAAATTACTTTTTAATATTCCACTATATAAATTGTAGTTAATTAAAGAAGAGGTTATTATAAATGTGTTAAATAAATTTTAAAATAAAACAATCATATTAAATCACCAATTCAGTGAATCAAACTATCTAATTTCAATGTAGGACCCGGAATCTCAACGTGTTATCATCACCACCTGCCCTGTGACAATATCTTCTCCATCAGGTTCAAGAGAAAAAAATACAAGATACGACACCCAAAGTGGTTAAATTTTTCACTAACGGATATTGCCAAATTATAATATCATTTCCACACCAACGACGTGTTGAGACCATTTCATTTGCATTAGGTGAACAATTGCAAATTACAACCTAATATGTGCACATTAATATACTGTAAAAATTAATTTTTATATATAAAATCATACTCTTTCATATCGAAAGGTCTTCTCTACATGAATTCACAGCTATTCAAAAGCGGTATTACTTTTTCACTTCAAACCTCAGATTATTTCTCAATATCGCTTTAAAAGACTTGATAGTAAATGAAAAGGTGTAGAATACTTTAAGCTTTCATATGTTAATTACTTTATGGGAGTATTGGTCAATAAGTTTTAGAGAAATTCACAAAAAACTATTTTATAGTAATTTTAATAGTCATGAAGAATTGTATGTAGATGGGATTCATCAAAAACTAAAAGGTATTTTATTAGTGATTGTTTTATATTGATTAAATTTTCATTAATGATTATTATGAGTATCCATCAATCAGTAGTTGTTATAGCAACATTAAACAATAATATCAGCAGCAATAAATAGCAAACGATGACAACGATCATCTTTTTTGAGGATGATAATAAAGATTAAGATCCTGTTTGTATATGAGTAATCGAAGTAAGCATTAAGGACAAGATATATGATCAAAATATTTTAACAAACATTTTATCAATTATTCAATGTATAGGAGTAATCGAAGTAAACATTAAGGACAAGATATATGAACAAAATATACTAACAAACATTTTATCAATTATCCAATAGTTTGTATAGGAGTGATCGAAGTAAGCATTAAGGACAAGATCTATGAACAAAACACTAACAAACATTTTATCAATTATTCAATAGTTTGTATAGGAGTGATCGAAGTAAGCATTAAGGACAAGATCTATTAACAAAATATACTAACAAACGTTTTATCAATTATTCAATAGTTTGTATAGGAGTGATCGAAGTAAGCATTAAGGACAAGAACTATGAACAAAAAAACATGCTAACGAATGTTTATCAATTATTCAATAGTTTATATAGGAGTGATTGAAGTAAGCATTAAGGACGAGATCTATGAACAAAAAAGCATACTAATGAATGTTTATAATTTATACAAGAGTGATCGAAGTAAGCATTAAGGACAAGATCTATGAACAAAATATACTAACAAACGTTTTATCAATCATTCAATAGTTATGTTTATTATTTATTTATGTATATAAATTTCTCTTTTATTTTAACTTGTATTTAATAACATCACTATGATAAATAATTAAATGAATAAAGTCTGAGAGAGACAAAACACCTTTTAATTTAATCATCATTGTTGCTTCTAATCATTATTTATGTATATAGGTAAAGAAAAATTTTAAAATCTATTTATTTATTATATTTACTTTTAAAATAAATGATTTTACTATAAAAGACATACCTAAGTGATCAAAAATCTGTAAATATTCATAATAATGTAATATTTGGACATTTATTTCTGCTTATACTTGCAATTGGACGCGTCTAACAAAATTTTACGCATATGAATATAAAGGCAAAATTTGACTTTGAGGGTCAGATTATTTTCGGTTTTATTAATAACCCGCCTTAAGATTTTTCATAAAGTAGATATATATGATAAAGAAATTATATCTCAAATTTGGTGGTGATTGCTACACAGCAAGGGTATCAAATGAGGGTGTGAAGACATTTGATTACAAAATTTTACTATGTAAATTCGAATTTTACTATGATGCAGATCATCCAAATTTTACTATGTTTTGCAACCCCCTATAGATCGGCGGGAAATGTCCTGTGACTGTAGGGATGGGGCGGTTCAGTTCTGGTTCCATGGAACTGGTAACAATAGAACCGAACCGAACCGTTCGAACTGGTTCTTGGAACCAGTTCCAAAATAGATGTAACACAAAATATTATTGTCAAAACTAATTTTCTTTGAAAATTTTCACTACATATAAAATTTTCTTTAAGGGTATTACTTCCTAATATGAAAACAGTCTATGTACTATCTAGTCATTGTCCATATTTAATGTTGATGATTATTTTTGTTTTGCCAATTACTAAATTGACCAATAGGAATGAAGGAAGGTAAATGAAAATGACAAAAACGGATATTAAAATATCCCGATATGGCGAAGTGGTTTTGACCTCAAATAAATTTAATTAATATTAACAGATGGTCTTTTAGCGAATTGCAAATGGTTTTTTTTGAATTGTATTAAAAAAAAATGGACCTTTGGCAAATTGCAAAAAGGCTTTTGACATAAATCATTTTAATTTTAAAAAATGGACTTTTGCATGAATTGTAAAAAGAATTGTAAAAAATAGACTTATGGCATGAATTGTAAAAATGGTCTTTTGGTGAATTGTAAAAAAAAGACTTTTGACATTATCATTTAAATTGTAAAAAATAGACTTTTGGCATGAATTGCAAAAAGATTTTTTGAATTGTAAAAAATGGTCTTTTGGCGAATTGTAAAAAAAAGACTTTTGACATTATCATTTAAATTGTAAAAAATAAACTTTTGGCGTGAATTGTAAAAAAAGACTTTTGACATTATCCTAATAAATCATTTAAATTGTAAAAAATAGACTTTTGGCATGATTTTTGAATTGTAAAAAATGGTCTTTGGCGAATTGTAAAAAAAGATTTTTGAAATTATCTTAACAGATCATTTAAATAAAAAAATACACTTTTGGCGTGAATTGTAAAAAGATTTTTTGAATTGTAAAAAATGGTCTTTTGGCAAATTGTAAAAAAGATTTTTGAAATTATCTTAATGGCACGGGATTTATCTTACAATAAAAGCAACCAATGTTCCATCAGAACGTGCTTTCTCAGTTGCTGGAAATACAATCAGTAAGGTGCGGAATTGCTTATTGCCAGAAACTG